TATATATATATATATATATATTTATTGAGTTATTTGAGAGGGAGATATACAAAAGTCTTATTCTCCAAGGTTTATAATATAGTCGAGTTTATAATATATGAGTACATAAAAAAATATAATGCATGTTTTACCTCTATCAACTATTCATCGATGTTGTCATTTAATTTTAGTTATTCAAATTTTTTTTTTATTCTTTTAACAATATGACATGTGATTTGATGGGTAAAAACATTTGTTTAAGCAGAGATCTACTATTCTACTCTGACCTGTGCAAGGGTGTAATAATTTTGACATTTTGTGCATAAGTTCGTGTATTTCTCTTTTGTAATATAGCACTAAACCCTAAAGCGAGTGACACTCTAATGCTATATAAGGAGGACGAGAGTAGAATTCCCTATTTTTTTCTTAATACAACGGTGACAATAAAGTTTTCAGTTAGCCATGATCTCACGTAAATTATTCAAACCCCTTCTGAAGTCAATCCTAACGGTTTTGAAAATATAATTGGGTACGAATACCTCGCATCGCATGCATATCAAATATAATTACGAACTAGCAGCTAGTGGGAAGAAGCCGAGTGGGTCACTTACAGTCTCAGACAGGGACATAGACACAACAACTTTACTTTGCAACATTAAACTAATCCAAAGCCGTGGGGTTGTCTCAAAATATCACTCTCAATTCTCAAACAACTCCTTTAAAATTTTATATTACCCACAAAAATAATAAAACAAAAGCTAGGCCAAAATATTATATTACTATTACCCACAAAAATAATAAAATAAAAGCTAGGCCAAATCAACCTGAGAATTTAGACATAAAACCAAAGTTCAAGAAACATTTATATATACAAGACAATATATTGATGTTACATGCCCGAAGATTATGGCCGTTGACATGACTAAAATAATCCAAAGCAAATGCCAAACCCAGCTTCACGGCATATTTTTCTACACAAAACAAACCTCATCAAGAATATGGCTATTGACGACAAAGCACCCCAAGATTCTCGGAGGAAAAAAGCTAAATCATAGAATAAAAGCAAACTGTGTCTAAGAATTTATTTAGATGCATACAACATATTTATAATAAGGATTGAATACCAACTCATATTGAAACAGAAGAAACCTACGTCTTCTATTTTACAACTATTGTCTCAATTTGAAAGACATCACATGGAAACCAACAGATTGAGTTATCAAAGTAGTAACAGAGCTTAAAATAATTAGAAATGATGATTCTCAAATTAAGAATAATGTCTTAACAAGAAGAAATAACGTGGATTACACAATCTAACACTCCAAAGGAAGATGGATTCTCAGGAATAACTATGACATCAAAGTGTTCTTCGCGACACAACATCGGCATTAAAAGCATCCCTAATCAGCCAACTCAAATTCTACAAGAACAGGAACCTGGTAAATAAACCTCTGAAAACAATGCTGGTCCCGGTACACAGACAACAAGCTTACTGTCACAACAAACAAGGGAAAACAAGCCAACAACTAGGAACCGTGTTGTCAGCAGCAAATGTAAATGCAGATGGAATGAGGCCCTAATAAATTAATTACCCTGCAGGAAGTGACACGTTAATGTCAGTTGGCTTATTCTTGGCCTCTGACGGCATAGCAGACCAATTTTCACCGCGGATGGTGGTTGCTGCTGCTGATAGAATTGGTATTGGATCAAGGGTAGAGATTGGAACAACTGCAGTTGGTGTCACACTTGATATCACCTCATGTTTCTGTTTTCTTGGCTTCTGCTCATGTTGGTTTCCTGCCAGAAAACTTCCTACCACTACCTGATACATATCAATCAATTGGAAAATAGAATTATCAGAAATTCAGAATCATGTAAACTTTGTTAGAGTAAATTACCCTGACATTCCTTGAGATTTCATAAGATTGCATACACAACCCTTGCTTTTATAATGTTTGCAGTAGCCTCCCTTACAGGGGTTAATAGTGTAATGATTTTCGAATCATTAAGGGGTTAACTGGTTAAAGGGTTACTATAGAGATAGAAAAAGTAGGAAGTATATGTGCAATTTCACGAAATCTCAAGGGTTGTCTATGTAATTTTCTCGAAACAGGATCTTTGTTTCATTTCATCCAAACTTATAATTCCATTAAGTGGTCTTTGTCTTTACTCTTTAGTACGTGAAGCACATTAGTCTGTTACATATTTGATTTAGGCCTATGCATACTTCACTGATTAAAAAAGGAAAAGGGAATAAAAGTATGAACTGAAAGCATACCTGCACAGGACTTGCAGCCACTAAAAGACCAGCTACTCCACCACCTACAACACGTCCATCAGGGCTTGCCAGAGATACACTCATGCCACCTGATCTGCTTCGTGTTCCTCCACTTTCACTGGGCATGAATGAGCCAGATAAAGACAGAATTTCAAACCGTCCCTGTAGAAACAGAAGCAAGAAAGATGGGACCTCCTCTTGTGATATACTTCAAATATGGATGCCGAATGAAAAGAAATGACGGATTGAGGAGTTGAGCTAGAATTTTGACTGGGTTTAATGAAACTACTGAAGATTAAGTAGCAGCTGTAAAGGGTAATACACATCCAAAGACAAAAGCACGAGTGAGTAACATGGCTCATGTTAAGCTCACATCGTTCGTAATTGAGTGGTCAAGAAACAATCCAACTTGGTCAGTTAGGAATTCAGAGTTTCAGACAGATCAGAGGCTGTTAAGCATTTTCCAATATTAATTTCTATTGAAACTCGGACCTCCACTAGATTGAACACTATTCCATAAGAACAATTGTCTACTATGCAGCCAAAGAAAACCAGAGTCAATACATTTGTTAAGAGATTTTCAAACGCTAAATTTTCCAACCAGTTAACTTTTGAGTTGATATAATACGCCAAAGCAACAATGTATTCAAGAATTTCAACTAATGACAAAAGAAAATCATTGCCAAAAGGCATTATGCAATTTACATATGAATCATTGCCAAAAGGCATTAGAAATGGCATATTTTAATATATAGCGCAAAACAAAAGTTGGAGTGATAAAAATCTAGGTTCAATTCCAGATAAATATTGCTTTTATAATTCAAGCAAAAACACAGAATAAGAAGACAGACAAAACATGATGCAAACAACATCAGTACACATCCAGATCCATCAAGGGCATTGTCATAATAGGAGGAACAACATACAGGTAGGTTATCAACAGTAGTGTATTTATATTATGATTGTTTTTAAAACAATGGTTAATATGCAAATCCAATAATTAAGAGGAACAGTGTGACTGACAGAAATTTTCTCTATGAAAGATACTGTAAAATAACTAAAAATAAATTCGATATGTTGTTCATTGAATAAAATGAGACTATCAGATTGCACAAATGCTTCACCTCATATGTCAATGTGCCCCCAGAAGAATCGGGCTGACGAAGTGTGACACTTGATATGACACCATTAGCTGAAAGAATGCATATAGCTCGTGGCCCTTGCTGAGAAAACGATATAACCTTCATAGTAACATCCTAAGATAACCAAAAGAAAGTAGTTGTCAACCATCGAATAAAATAGTCCAGTAAAAGAAAATGAATATAGAATTTGTTTAGAAACAAGTTCAGAAGTGTTTTTTTAGAGTTTCTCTACTGAAAAATACTCTTTATTTTCAGTAAAGAAGTTCTAAGAAATGCTTCTAATTTGTATCCAAATAGGTTCATAGTCATTCCAGGAAATTAACAAGTTATTATATGTTCTCTTTCTCATTGTCATTCTTTTGATAATTAATCACTCATCTTTCATATAACCGTCACTTCATATGGGGAAAGGCATGTATGTAACATAGGCCTTGTCATCCCAGCATAGAAATAATTGTAAAACTGGACACAAGGGAAACATTTGGAGGAAAGGATAAAAAAGGTCATAATACATCGCTAGGCTAACAATAAAAGGAGCAAAGCATAGGGAATAGATATTTCTGACACTTACCTCACCAGAATTAACAGTGATGATATGGGGAGTAAAATTAGCACCAACTGAGCATGCAACCCATTCACCTAAAAAGGGTAAAAAAATATCAATAATTAGCAAAATAATTTGGAAATGAGAGAGTCTCAGTTTCTACTATAAGACATGTAATATAGGCCGAATAAAGAATAAGAATATTTAAACCAGAGTTACCATCTAAAAAGTTGCAAAATTATAATTTTGCCCAAGATTGATTGAATAATCTTGATAGTGCATGTCAAGAGCTAATTATTATTTTTCATTATTGCAAATAACTACTTCAAGACTCAGCATAAGGTTGGTTAAATAAATGGTGCATCAAATTTATTTCTTCTATTAACCTTCATGACAATCAAACAATATTATTAAATTAAATTAAATTTCTAAATAAAAATACAAAAAAAAAACTTTGCAAAATAATTCAAAAAAAAATCTTGTTTGACAGTAGTATTTGTTACAAAAGCTATCCAATCCAATTAATGTCAAGCATGAACCAAGAGTTTCCATAGAAACTTAATATTTGTGTAATTTGTAAAAGCAAATTGGGAAAACTTGCTATCATCCCTCAGCAAAAATAGAAGCTTATCAAAACTTAGAAAACAACAAGCAGAAAGGCAACCAAACATTGAACAGGAAAATTGACAAACAAAAAAAAAGTGGCAAAAGGGAATAATAATAATAGATTAAAAATAATAAAGCTCTATGAAAACCAGTTTGTAAAAAGTCTTCATGCATCTAATGCATATCAAATATCATATTACCATCTTATACACACAAAATAATCCATGATGCCTAGACTATTGCAATTTCTACCTCGTTTATTTTTAAGACATTAATCTGCGATCAAACAGTTAGTTTGTTACTTTGTTTCCCATTTAAATCTCAGAATAATATTTAGCTTGCATGCACAAGTATCCCAACATATCAGCTTGGTCATCCAATAAGCAGTATAAGAAGGAAGGACCACTTGCATCACCTATCAACAAAGTACTAAATGGCGTTTATGCGAGAAGACCAAAAAGAGAAGCTGATGTCAACTTGGCCTTAGGATAGGACTTCTTCACAAACAACACACAGCGCACAACAATATTAAAGTCCTTCCATCACTCTAGCCAACTCCTAGAAAGCAACACCCACAACTCCACCACACACAAAAACCAAATAACTAGAAAAACGACCCAAATAGTTTTTTTCAGCATTTTTATTTTGCTCCTATAAGTACAAGTTTGTTCCCCATCAGTAGCAGATTAGAAGCAGGTAGTACCTAACATAGTACCTAGAAAGATTTGGTTTGGGTTCCTACGATGAAGGTTTGAAGTGCCAAAACGACAGACATAACGAGATTCCACCGTCCCATACCGACCCACAAAGCTAACTCACTTTTCAGGACAACAATTACCCTAACTTAGCTCATCCAATCAATCAGAGGCCCCACACCCTCAATGTGCCTCCCTCTATAAGCCAAATACTCATCCCAATTTTCCAATTTCCAACACTAACACAACACCACTTCAACTCAAATTATTATTTTTATTTTATATATATGTGCATATAAAAAAGATCATAAATAGAAGAAATACTGTAGAATTTTCTTTAGTACCTAAATTCTCCAACTCAAATTTGGCTTTGCTGACAGAGCTGGTTGGCTTTATTTTTCCACGCTTCTCCACCGAGAAATCGATCACCGGCGGCAACGGGGCGGAGGAAGATATCGGCTTCGGAGACAGCGCCATGGCCACCGACCCATCCGGTGCATACTTTCTCGGCCGGCCCCTCTTCTTCTTCGCGGGCATCGTCGCCGGAGACACCTCCGTCGCCGCCGTGTGCGGCGGATGTGGCGGCGGG